GAGCTGTTCTTGTACTGAAACTAAGCTTGTGGCTGATTCCTGATCTGGGAAGAAAACATGGCACTTGTAGTTGCTAGCAAATCCTGCCTATGTTCTCTGCCTTTGTGCCAGTGTTATTAATCTATCCTAAATGCCTAAGTGCCTGGACTCTGTGAAGTTTACAGAGCACAATTACAGTAGTCTTCTGGCTTCCAACAAGCACTAAGCTAATACCAGCTTCTTGCTGGAACTGTAGAGCCCACTGGGTCTGAATTCATTCCAGCACTTGATGGGTGACTAGGTTTCTCCATGGGGACAATTGATTTTGTTTCTATAGGGAACCCTCATGCTTATCTCTAGCAAAAATGTCCTTTCAATGACTGAATAATATAGCTGTTTTCTCTTTGCTTTAGGAGATATTTTTGCATCTTTTATTCCCAAGAGGCAATCACTAGAGCAGAGTGGGGAAGTTGGAGATTTTTCTTATTTCTTTCACTACTTTTGGGGCCATAGAGTTAATTTAGCAGAGCGTTCTTATCTCCAAACTGTAACAATATATGTTCTTGGCATAATGAATCAGCTGAGTGGCATCAACAAAGAGATTTAAGCAGATAGACAGAAAGATAAATATCTCTTTGTTCTGCCTGGTAAGCAGTGCATTGCTCATCATATTTCAGATTGACTATAATTCAGTTTTGTGATTAAATATGCTACGTGTTTTCCAGTGGTCCCTGTCTCTCTGGTAAACACTTCAAAGGGAACTGGAATGCGAAGAAGGCTTCAGAAATGTCCACAGAAACACTGGCAGTCATGAGACTTATCTACTAGACTGAAGCCCTAGCTTTAGTGTCTGTCCTTGTGTGTGTCGTCATGTCGTGTGTGTGTGTGTGTGTGTGTCCCCGAAAATCAGAATTCAGTCAAAACTGGGGATTTCTTCGTAGTGCGATTCTCTTGCTAATTTAGATGCCTCTTAACCATTTGATGCTTCCACACATTGGCTCTGCATCTATGTCAAATGTTTCTGGCTAACTGCACAGATGATTTTGGCCAGATACTCTGTGCTGCAGTGCTTAAACTTTCTTTGATTAGCAGCACTGCCCTGGAATCCAGAAGTGGAGAGTCAGTTCTAGAAGTGTGGGAAACTAAGAAGACATTAAGCATTCCCCTATCACCCATCCCAGCCTCAGCAGGCAGAACTGAAACTCTTGCAAAGAAAATAGTATGCCAGTGATGGGTTTGTGGAAGGTGGAGAAGACAGTGCTCCCCTGTCAGAGATGCCAGAATAAGCTTAGGAAGACAGTCACAGGAGGAGTCAGAAATCATTCAGACAGATATGATCTAGTAGTTAATTTATTGAGTTTTAATCAGTAAATTTAGGTATGTAAATTATTTAATAAGTACAGATGGATTGGCAGTCAACACTCTACTATTTACTAGACTTAAAGTTAGTATGGGTTACAAAGATTATCGCGTAAGCTTACTTATACGTATCTTAAACGTTACATGCATGCAGAAAATGTTACTTACCAACAGATCAATGCCTGGTGCCAAGTAAGAGATCCCTTAGCCTTGAGGAGTAACCTTGAAAAGTGTCCCTGCTCAAGGGGAGATCACTGCCACACAGCCAGCTGCTATGGAGGGGACTGCTCAACAGGACCTGATGGTTGCATATATTTATAGCATGAAATAGTTGATTTGTAGTCAGATTTTCTGTTGTTAATGCAGTTTTGGCCACTTATTAGCTCAATTTCTAGCCAGAAGTGGGGTTTCTGGGCTTGGTGCTGAGTTCTCGCTGATAGCCTCACACAACAGGATTAACTTCAGTTAGCCCTACTTGCTGAGCATCTGCCTGGACCAAAGTTCAGTTAGTTCAAACAAGAGTGCATCTATCACACAGACCAAGCATGAATCAAAATAGGAAGCATGATCCTGGGCACTTCTGAAAGCTGCATGGAAGGAGATCTTCCCTTTCCACTGAACACTGGCCATATCCCGGGAGAAGGAAAGGGACTAACAAAAGAATAACAGCAAAAGGGTCAAAAGACATAGGAGATTTTACCACTTACCACACAGATCATGTATAGTCACTCCAGGAGGGGTGGGTTCTTGCTGCCTACAAATCTGTGCAGTGCTGCTTGTACCTGTATGATTCATTTCCACCATCTGTATTTGTGCCAAAGTATAGATAGATACCCATGCAGGTGCATCCCTAGATGGAGAGACCAACAGGCACAGACAGGTGGGGAGGCCTCCTCTTTCCATTCTGCCTTCTGGAGATCTTGGCATAATTCCTTCTTCATTTATTCACTACTTTATTGACTACACAACTGAAAAAATGAAAGAAAAAAAAAAAAGAAAAACACAGGAGAGCAGAGGAGAATCAATGAAATCAGACAGGAGAAAGAAAATGTTTGGTTGGTTGGTTTGGGTTTTTTTTGCCTCTTCAGCAAGTAATTCTCATTGCTTCTGATCAAAGTGCTGAGGAAACTATAGTCCTGCCTCTTCTATCTCCTCCTCACAGAACAGACTATCTCAGCTTCACTTTTTCAAAGCAACTGTTTTAATATTAAAGGTGATAAGTACTACAGCAAACATGAGGGGAAACATAGTGAAGTTATTTTGCTCAGCTTCCTCCATGCTTTTCATCCAGTAATAAAACTGAGGCATAGGACAGCTGTGTGTTCTGGTCCTCATGCAGCTGGGATCCAGTGTGGAAGTCTGTCTTGAAAGATGCGAGGAAAACATCAGAAATGCATTTTATGAGAATTCTTTCTTTTTTTTTTTAATAAATTCCCCAAGAAACTTTACCCATAGTGCTTTCCAACATTTCCCTTGCCCTATTGACATTGACACAGAAAGCTTAGACTTCAAGCACTGAATGCTAGGGGCTATAAATCCCTAGATCTAGTCCAATTTCATCTGCCTCTGAACAGCTCAGGTAAGCTCTGGGTCGGATCCAAATTGTCCCTACCTTACACTCCCTGACTCTCTTCTTGTCATGTTTTATATACTTATTGACTTTTACAGAGCTTCCTGAGTAATTCTTCAAGGAAGATTGACTGATTTAAGGGGTTAGTCATCCTGCAGGTTAGTAAACATGACAGCTGGTTGAGGATTAACAGGAAATCATGAATAAAATCATTGGGATTGATAAGGGATTCTCAAGCAATTAAAGTTTTCTTGCAGAAAGTCAAATAGGAAAAAGAAACATAGAATGAAGGTCAAAGGAGAAGGATGACCTTCTACATGCTGACAACCGCTGAGCTCTGAAATACAAGATGTACTGGCAGAGTTAGTGTGAGATGGTTAACAACAAGGGAATAAAGTGCTAGAGAGAACTGCAGGCCAAGGTGTAGGAGACTGGGCAGAGCTGTGTAGGAATGCAACAGCTGTGGGACCAGCAGGTCAGTGCGGAGGCATGTCAACAGGGTGGTGTGAAGATGCAGAGCAAGATTAAAATGATATGGCAAACTGGTCTGGGGGTGCTGTTTGTTGCCTGCCTGTGGTGCAAATGGTAGAGAAAATTGCAGGACAAGACCAGGTAGCAGAACTATCCTCGAATTCCTTCTCCAGGTAAGAGTTTGCTAATGTACTGCAGAGAGCAGACTGAGACGACTTCAGGTGACTTCCTTCCCCTTTCCAATACCTCCATGTACCTCATCACTGGGACTGAGGTTTGCTGCCGACTAGATGTTTCCTGCGTACTCACTCCATGGCTTCCCTTGACTGATTTCCTTTGTGCAGCACCTTTCTGTTCTCTCTCTTAACCTCTAGCTTCTTCTCCTGTCCTATAAATCCCCACTGATGACTTTAAAGTTCCAGGTGTGAGAGGCTCTGGCACCTTGTTTAATGAACTGGAAATGGATTGGAGCCTACTAGCTCTGGAGAACCCATACCAAGAGCCATCTGTTGTGAGCTGCAAATGCTGAATTCCAGTCTTATGTATGCTACCTGGCCCCTTGGTTGGTTACTGAGCTCCTGACATCTTCTGATGTGTGTCACAGTAAGGAATGTCAGGATCAGTCAGGAAAATACGTTTAGGCAGGGTTGGTTTGAAGGGAGGGAGCCAAGAGTCTGGTATGGCTTCATGTTTGTCCTGTGGGGCAGGGCAAGGAACGCAGTGGGTGAAGGGATGTGTTTTAGACTGCTCAGCAGAATTTGTATTTTATCACAAGTTTTATAATCTTCTCCTTTTACTCTGATATCCCAGAGCCACATGATTAAGGGAACACTGCAACTTTCTTTTCACATTTTTATGATTTTTATTTTTTAAAAATATTTTTTTTTTTTTTGCCTGTATAGTAAAGCTTTTAAACATTACCTGAACGTAACCTTTAAAACCTCAGAGGCAGAAAGCAACAGAAAAGAAACCCAAATTGCTGTTGCTCATATTTGTGTTTTGTTAATTTTTAAATACTGTGGTTTCCAGAATCATTTGATTCATGGCTTTTGTTATACAGGTATGTGTGGGAATACATTTAGAAGTTAAACATAATTTCGCTGTCTGTGACAGAATTGTATGGTTTCTGGATTTGTTAATCTCAGCAAGGTGTTCTCTCAGAAGTGAAGTACAGCACTATGTGAAGACTATATAACCTGCTGTTGACTAGTCTTATTGTTCTTTAGCTTTTCTTACTCCTCAGGAGCTTCTTTAATTTCAGGAACTCTTATGGTGCTGCAATTGGAATTAAGCTGATTAACACTTGGAAGGAGATATGGACTCTACCCTTTCCCCACCCATGGTTTGGTTCATCTGGAGGATTCTGGAGCAGCCATTTCCACCTAGATTGGAGAAAAACTACTTCATTTTTTTCATGTATGATTCCAAGAGCGTAGCTCATGCTCCACAAACAATATCCTAAGTTGTAAAAAAGGAAAAAAAAAAAAATTTTTTAACTGAGACCAGTAAGCAAGAATGAGCAGGTGTTAAAGTCTGAGTTTGAGCACAGAGTAGCCATGTGGTTAACAAAGTGTGTGAGTAGTGGAAAGAGTTTAATTCAGCCTTTTCTTTTAATTTTCAGAGTCTAACAGCCGACGGGCAGTGAACAGAGGCTACCTGGGCGGATTGCTGAGACTCTATCAAGACTGGCATCACAATGATGTCTCCAACAACTACATTTATATTCGTAGGGGTCTCCTGCTCTGCCTAAAGCACATTACCAACATCCAGCTGGGCAGGGAGACCTTCCTTGGTTCCCGGGGTATGGAGATTCTCTTCACAAGTATACAGGTAAACAGTGCTTTTGTGCTTAAGTGAGATGGATTGTTAGTTAGTGCTGGGTTCTACCTCACAGTGCAGGAAATTCCATAGTTTTCTCCTGAATTTATGTATCAATGAAAAAATTTATAATGTTAAAATAAAAAGGATTCACTTTTTCACAGTTAGTACTTCAGAAAAGCTGAAATGTTTCTGTTTAAAATTAATTTTAATTCCTG